TAGTTTTCCTTTCGGCCTGCGTGCCATGATGATGTATTGAGGATATTTAGTTAGTTTAGCCTGTGCATCTGAGTTCTCCAGCTCAGATGTGGCATAGCACCCCGCACTCGTATGTTTAGTACTACTCTATTTTGGGATTTAATGAGAATTGACCTTTATTATATAAGTTTTAAAAGTTTCAAAATTTCGGGGTGTTACAAAGTCTCTATTCTAAATATTTCAAAGAATATTTGACTCAAAGATACTTTTGCTCTTGTATAATTCTCTTTGCAAGTTGTTCGTCCGTGTCCTTGATCTTCAAGTCTTCATGGCTTTATATAGATGATCAAATGTATTCGTTAGAGCGGGATAATTTGATATTTGAATTTTGAATCTCGTAGCCTGATGTTGTTGACAATTTTGAAATCTTCATATTGATTGTTTGCCAACTTGTATCTGACAAGATAATATATATATTTTTTATCAACTTGATTTTCAATTTGCTTCTAAAAAAATAATATCTTCTTCTTCTTTGATCACCAACGAACATTTCTCTGACAAGAATTAAATCCTCTGACTTGATTTTCAAGTTGTTTCTAAGGATAAGATTTTTAAGCCTTCATGCTCATTGTCATAAAGATAATATTAATTTTTCACTGTTCTGATCATGTGTTTAGGCATTTGAAATGTTGTAACATGTGGATAAACTAAATAATTCATTTGAATTATTCAGTATTCTCCCTTTGTAGCTTCTGATCATCTTACTTATTTGTCACAGCTTGCTTGTCTCAATTTAGCCATGTCTTGCTTCTTGCTTGATCAGACTTCTCTCTCTCTTTTTTTTTTTTTTTTTTGAATAAATAGCTATATAGTGCTTGAGATAGATTTCCACATCTTGCTTATTTTCTCCTCTTGCTTGTATAAAATATATCTTGCTTGGGTTATTTGTTGGAAAAAATAGCTTAAAATGACATGTTAAGTGGCTATTTTGTGGTACAATTATCAGTGGGGTCCACTTTCGATTTGGGTCGGGTCAAAGTGGATTCGGGTTCTTCGTAGTGAGACGAAGAGATTGATATATTGTATGCTCAAAACGGATAATGGGTGAATGAGATATTGATTCTCAAAGTAGACCCATTTGAGTTGAAAAATGAGGGGAAAAAGTGAGCTTTTGTCCCACATTGATTTGGGAAGAGGATTTGCCCCACTATATATAAAAGAGCTCTTTTTATGGTTATTGAATTGTATAGCATAGAAGCTCTCTTTTGCGCGCATGGGTGTTGCAAATCAAATTCCAAAATGCGATTGAAAAGGCTTGGTTCAAGCCCGACACTTGTCGGCTAACTTCGGCCAAGCACGAACACGGGTCGTTTCTGGATATATAGTTATGAATTTATGGATATTTAGTTCATTCATTGTGGATATTTAGTTCATTCATTGTGGATTTTTACTTCATTCATTCACTGTGTATATATAGTTATGAATTTATGGATATATAGTTATGAATTTATGGATATATAAAAAATGCTATTGCCGGGAATCGAACCTGAATTTTTTTTAAAGTGGGACGCACATTTTTTAACCAAAACGACATCGTTTTTGCATCCGTATGCACCATGCATGGTGCATACGGATGCACAGCATAATTTGTCGTTCGTGCACTGCTAGCCCGAAAGCCTGCATGAACCTGTGATTTATTCAAAAAAAGCTATTTCAATTTTGATAGACTGCATTGTAATCCTTCCCAAGTGATTTATATTTCATTTACAATTGAAGTTGAGTTGGACTAAACTTTTTCAAAGGGATTTAACAGCAATTCGAAATTAAAATTGATTCTTGCTCCTTAGGATAAAAAAAAAAAAAAAATACTCAAGCAATTGAAGAATGATAAAAACACACACTTTGCAATGTCTTGAGCGTCTAATCCTAAGATTTTGTTATTGTTTGGAACAAATCCCGTTTAGTTTTGTTGGTCGCAACTTGAAGCATATTGAGTTGGATAGGTGTAACTCTTCCATTATTGCTTCTGCATGCCAAGCAGCTCAAACATACTTACAGTCAAGTTGAGGTTAGAAGCTACAATGCCATTCATTCTGGATAATTAATTTATTTAACTTCTATACTATTTGTTGCTGATTGAATTTCTTTACAAAATTTGTTGCCATTAATTTCTTTATCTAATCTCATTCCATTTTGTAGCTCATAAGCAATTAATGGGGCTGAATATGATGTATGTACTACAGTTCTATATTGACCAGATGGAAGAGTTTAATTTGTAAGAATTTTTGGCCAAAAAGAAAAAAAATTATAATGAATTTTTGACTTGCTGGATTGTTCAAAGTTCACCAGCAAAATTATATTTATGTGTGAATGGAATCTTTAAATTGTCAACTTTACTGCAGCTCAACTCACGCCTCATCCTTTCTTTAAATAAAATGTTTCCATTAAAAAAATTATAGATTACTTTATTATAATGGATTAAATAAAATAAAGGGAAAATGGCACTTTTTCCCCCTATGTTATATACTTATAACACTTTTTCCCCCTCAATTATTTAAGTGGCTCTTTTTCCCCCTAAAATGTTAAATGGACATATTTACCCTTAAAATAAATATTTCATTTATTTTTATTCTCCAATAAATTATTACTATAATTTGGTTCAAACCAGATATTATAGTAACCAAACCAAAATATTCCAATTACAATTTATAATCAAAACGCGATATTTAGAGTTTATTAAAATCACGAACTGGAATGGGCGGTTCATGTTCCAAACTGAAAAAATAAAATACATTTATTGTTGAATTTAAACTATTTTAAAATAAAAAATAAAATTTTAAAATAAAGACGGTTCAAAATCGCGAACGGGATCCGAAACCGTCGGTTCATGATCCAGTTTTTTTTTTTTAATTCTTAAATTTAATAAATTGAAATCCAAATATTGGGTTCTAGATCTGAATCATAACTGAAAACTTTTAATTCGATTGCTATAGTGTCTGGTTCAGTTCGAACCGAACCGTGGTAATCGCTACATATACGCAATAATTTGTTGGAGAAGTAAAATAAATAAAATGTTTACTTTAAGGGTAGAAATGTCAATTTAATATATTAGGAGAGAAAACCACCACTTTTAAAATAATTGAGGGGGCTAATGTGCTTACATAAATAATTGAGGGGGAAAAAGTGCTATAAGTATATAACATAGGGGGAAAAAGTGCCATTTTCCCTAAAATAAAAAACTTATAACGTAATACTTTTATCTTACATATTAATTTGAGAATTAACAGAAAATCCTTATAATAATAATAATAATAATAATAATAATAATAAATTTGTCAAAAGTTACTAACTTGGTGCAGTGCATAGCATAGTTAAAGAGGTTTTTTTTTTTTTTTTTTTTTTTTTTTTTTTTTTTAAAAGAAAAAAAAATTGGTACCACGACTATTGGATCATTTCTGCATTTGGTCCTCGATTATTACTTTTTCATATTTGGTCTCATAACTATTGGATCATTTCCACATTTAGTCCCCGACTATTACTCCGTAATTTTTTCACATTTGATCCCACGACTTTTAAAATCTTGTCACATTTAATCCTCCGACTTAATTTTCGGTCACCAGTAACCAAAGTGACTAATCTTGAAAGACAAAGTTGTCATTTTATGACATTTTTCAATTACAAAATTTGTTCACCAATGACCAAAAATTAGGCTAGATGACTAAATCACTAAATGTGACAAGATTTTAAAAGTCATGGGTCCAAATATGAAAAAGTTAATAGTCGGGGATTAAATGTGAAAATAATTCAATAATCGTGGCACCAAAAAACAAGAGAGCTTTCTTTTTTTGAATGCCACTAGCTCTATTACAATGTAGTATCTGTTTCTCAACCTATGCTAATAACGCTTCCACTGAGGCTCAAACTCACAATCTTCCACATGGAAGTCCAATCCGTGTACCATTAGACCACATAGTACTGGTTAAACAAGAGAGCTTAGACAATCATATAATAATATTAGTAATATTTGTTGATTTAAATGCTTTGGTTGATTGCCTATAGAGTCATTTAAAACCAAAAGAAATGTAGTTTTTGCTGGCTTTGTTTAAATTTCAGTCTTTCTTTTACTAGCCAGCAAAAGGCTCTCTCTTTTACTCTCATCTTTAGCAACTGCATTTTCTCATACAAACAAACACACAAAAAGAGAGAGTGATGGCTTATGTTGCCTTAACTTCTCTGATGGCCACACTTGAGATTCAGTTTCTGCAACCCATCCAAAGGCTGTCTCTTCATCATCATCATCATCAACCACCAATCAAATCTTTCTTCCAAAACCTTTCTTGTTTGCAAGAATTTCTAGACATATTCCAATTTCGTAGTGCACCCAGAGATTTGGAAACAAAAATCAGAGACTTTGCACTTGAGGCTGAAGACAACATTGAAACACAACTAAGCAACTTTCTTCTACTGTCCAAACACACAGTCCATCAAGAAGAAGCTTCCCAAATACTCTGTCGAACCTTGCAAGAAGCAGCACAAAACGCAGCAGAGTTGTTGAAGATTACCAATATAGAAAAAGATGGAGAAACAGAGAGAAAGATAACTTGTGATGCTTTAACTTCTCTCATAAGGGAGATTCGGGTTGACTTTGTGGTCCAGCCTGTGCTTCATGTTCCAGCATCACTGATCGAATCTCTCATAGAAAACATTTCTTCTTTGCGAGAATTTGTAGAGATATCAAATTTTCACGGTGCTGCAATCAAAGATTTGGCAACCGAAATCAGAGACTTTGCATTCAAAGCAAAAGAGGATATGGAAAAACAATCATGGGAAGTTCGTTATTCCAGATTCACAGATAAACATAAAAAACTTTCCAACAAGCTCCTCCAAACCTTGCAAGAAGTAGCGGAAAACACAGGAGAGCTATTGGATAGAATCAGCAACACAAGCAATGAAGCGGATGAGGCCAATGAAACACAACCACCTATTCCTTGGTTAAATCATAATGCATCCTCGAGGTGCTCTCCAAGGTTTGAGGACAGAATGGTTGGTCGTCAAAATGACGTTACTACAATAAAGGATCAACTCTTCAGTGGTTTTGGTGGTCTAAAAGTAATCCCGATTATTGGGATGCTGGGCATAGGAAAGACTACTTTAGCTCGAAGAATTTTTGAAGATCAACTAGTTCCACTGCATTTCGATGTAAAAATCTGGTTTACTATGCCCCAAAAATACAATAAGATCCAAATACTACGCGACCTCCTTCGGTCAATTGCACTAGCAGAGCAACATGAAATTAAAGAGGGAAGAACTCTAGTAGAGATGATGCAGGAATGCTTGATAGACAAGAGGTATCTAATTGTTTTAGATGACATATCGAGCACTCAGCATTGGGATGATATCAAACATGTTTTTCCTCGTTATGTGGAAGGCAGTCGCATATTGCTTACCACTCGGTTCAATGAAGTGGCTGATTATGTTTGCACATTCAAAGGTAATCATCATGTTATGAGTTTACTAGATCCAAATGAAAGTTGGGAACTATTCTGTAATATCTTTCCACTTGAAAGGTATAGGGCACCAAGATTTGAAAGCTTTAGGAGTCATCTGTCCAATGTTGTGGAGAAATGTGAAGGACTGCCACAGGTAATTGTTATAGCCGCTGAGCGTTTATCTGAATGCAAAAACAACATACAACATGAATTGAAAAAAATGGAAAAAGAAATTGAATTGTTGGGAATTCTAGATTATAGTGCACTCGCACTCATTTATAATCAGTTGCCAGAATATTTGAAAGTTTGCTTTTTATATCTTGGAATCTTCCCAAAGCGTAGTGAAATCGAAGTCAAAACGCTTCTTAGGTTATGGGTTGCAGAAGGATTTGTGAAACCATCAAGGAATAAGGAGTTAGAAAACATTGCTTATTGTTACTTAAAGGACCTCATTGATAGAAGTCTTGTGTTAATAAGTAGTCGGACTTTTGATGGCAAAATTAAGACTTGTAGGGTGCACAGTGTCATGCATAATATTTGTTTTCGAGAGGCTCAAAAAGAGGGAATATTATGTGCAGTAAATACTCAGCAACTCCCAAGGTGGTCATTAAATGCATTCGCAAATTCCTGTCGTTGGTTTAGTTTATGCAAACATAGTTTTGACTATTATGTGTTGTTTAGTTTAAACAACCCTCGCTCCATTTTCTTCTTTCAAGACAATTCTGAAATTTTGGTACCGTTCAAGCTGTTAAGAGTTTTGGCGTTCGTTCCATCTCCATTCCTCCAAAGAGTGCCAATGCAGTTAGGGGATTTAGTTTTTCTAAGATATTTATCTATAACACAATGGTTTGAAGGTCTCAACGATGTAGTGTCAACTAATCTGAATTTACAGACTCTTGTTGTTTGCGGAAGTGACAGTGAATCACAACTTGGAGTACCTACTCTCCATTTGCCATCAAAAGTTTGGGAGTCACCACAATTAAGGCATCTGGAACTTGGTGCTTTGTACACTGTTGATCCTCCCAGCGTGGTAAAGAAGAATTTGCAAACATTATCTTGGGTAGGTCCAACTCATTGCAGAAAGGAAATGTACTCCAATTTTCCAAACATAAAAAAACTAAAAATATTCTGTAAAGAAGACTTAGAGCCCAGTGACATTGGTGGATCTTCCAGCAAACACATCATTTTGGATAACTTGGACTATTTAGCACGACTTAAGAGTCTAACGATTTCAGTTTCTGTTGGCTGCATGGTAACATTTCCTGAACGGTGTGCGTTTCCTTCACAACTGAAGAAATTGAGTTTGAGTGGGACTAATCTTTCTCGGTGGGATTTAACTGTAGTTGGCTCATTGAAAAGTCTTGAGATGCTGAAGCTGGAAAATGCTTTCCATGAACAAGTGTGGAGAGTAGCTGAAGGAGGATTTTATGGATTAAAGTATTTGGTCCTTAAAGATAAAAAACTCAAGAGGTTGGAGGCCTACATAGATGCTTTCCCATGTCTCGAGCACCTAGTTCTAAGATGTTGTCATTATTTGGAAGACATTCCAAGCAGTTTTGGAGAAATTTTCTGCTTGAAGTCAATCGAGTTAGATAGGTGTAGCCGCCCATCCATTGTCACTTCTGCCAAGGATATTCAAGAGAAGCTAAATAAAAATTTTGGAAAAGCAAATTTTGAGGTTAGAAGCTCGATCTGGCTTGATCATTCTTTGTTATTAGATGTTGAACATTGCAAAATCTGTTGCTACTTAATTTTTTCTAACTTCATTTGTTTTCTTTATTTTGCATTACTTTATCATAGATCAAAATTGACGAATGAGGATATATAGTAGAATGTGTAGAAGATGTTGGGGTTGGCAAATTTGAAAAGACAAAAATTCTGAGGTTAGAAATTCATTCTTAATCTTCTTTTTTCGGTTTTATTAAAAAAATTTCTGATCTTTTTTTTTTTTTTTTTTTTTAAATACTCATGATTCTTTACAAGTAATATCTGTTTCTCTATTTAGCATTACTTGAGGTACAGAAGCTGGCCCAAAGGGAATTGTCACTTGTGGGAATTGAACGCCGGTTATCCCGAAATTCTCCCCACAAAGAAAGCTCATTTGCCCTTGAGTTACCCTGTTGGGTTGAGGCTGAATATGATGAATCAGGCAGCTGGGCACATAGTAGAGTCTGAAAAGGATGATGGGGTTGGCAACCTAAAAAATATCAAGCATGCCACTGCCTGATGCAAATTGATTTACAAGCTAGCTAGGCAAAGTATATTTCTGAAAACTGCTCTAATTCTCCATTTTTGGCGTCATACATTTAATTTCCTGCAATGCCACAAAGCATATATTAGATTTGACATTTTCTTCTTAATTGCAGGTTTTCAAGCTGAAAAACTCTGAACTAGAAGTGGTATGTTGTTAAGGTGATTGGTTTTCTTAACAAGATCAAGATCTAGCTAGCTGCTGTAAAACCTGGAAACCAAATGAACACAGTAGATTGTTTTAGCTGAGATTTCCATGTAAAAAGGGATGAAAGAAGAAAACTACCTGCCCTCCTTTAAGGCAATGGCATGACTAGAATTGTAGTTCTTTTTTTTTTTTTTTTTTTTAATATATAGTCAAGCACATAATTCGAAAATTTTATTATTATAGTCAAGAAATCAAGATGAGAACTAATGGAGGTTTTGTTTTTTTGGGCGATGAGAGGAACTCGTGAATCTGTAATCACTATTTGAGGGTAAGCATTAGGTAAATAGTGCTCTCTCTTAATAGCTTGCAAATCACACATGAGAGGTGTGAGGTAAACCACACTAGAATTACCCTGTGTAACACGCTTAACTGAGAGAATATTGCCAAAAATCAAACTTATAACCAATTCTATCATGACCTCATGGGACTCTAAGGAAATTGTAAAAAAGTTGTTAAGTCTTTTAGTTTATTTGAAATCTTTGATTGCCTTAATTGCAAGATCATTTGATTGGAAGCAAGGGAGGAGGCAGAATTGAATAGTGTTGGGGCCAACTACGGTTGAAGTACTAAATCAAATACATTAATATCCAGTTAACATATTTCAAAATAATCAATACATTATAGATTTAATAAAGTTTAGAATAAATCATTTACAATTGAATCTATATTAAATTATTTTGCAATATGTTTTTCATTATATTGCTTTGTACGTTGAAAGAATGAAAACATTAACAACATATTTTAAGATAAACAATAGAATATGAAACAAAAATTAACCAAACAAGTAGTTACAAATAAAAAGCAAAAATTAACTTGAAAAATATGCATAGATTTTATTAATGACAAATTATCTTGTTATAACATATATGTCACACACACACACACACATATATGGTTCTAGAGAGAGACACTAGTAGGTAGGTTAAATGGGGTTTAATTTGATTATCATCAATATTGGGAAGACATAATTTGAAATGGGAGAAAATTGAAGAAGTTGAGAAGATGAAGAAGTTTATAACTTAACTTGTAAGATTAATTTAAGTGAGAGGGGGCCAAATATTTGAAAGTAACAACAAAATTTTAAAATTATATATAATATTTTTTTAAAAAAATTAATACATAGATAGTATTAAAAAAAATTGGGGTGGGGGAGGGGGCCAAGGCCCCCCAAAGCTTACACTTTCCTCCGCCCCTGATTGGAAGAAGTTATTAAATGCATTTGTAAATTCGGGTCGTTGGTTTAGTGTATGCAAATTAAATATAGTATTGATTATTATGTGTTGTTTAGTTCAAGTAATCTGTGCTCTATTTTCTTCTTCCAAGAAAATTTTGAAATTTTTGTACTCTTCAAGCTGTTAAGAGTGACATTAGTTCCATCTCCATTCCTCCAAAGAGTGCAACTGATGCATTTATAGGTGATTTGATACTTTCCTATCAATTAAATTTTTAGAAAAATCGTATTGGATAACATTTAAGATAATCGACTTTGGGATGATATCCGAAGATGTTTTCCATACCGAAATTCTGAAAGTCGCATATTGTTTACTACTAGGCATTTCAATCTGAATTTCAAGGATAACTTCTTCTATAGGTATAACTATATCCAAAATGATTTTGCTAGATCCAAATGAAAGTTGAATTGGGATCTATTTTGCAATATCCTTTCTCTTAATGAGCTTCGTATGTCACCTTAATTTGATAAAATCAGGAGGCATATTGTAAAGATATGTGATGGACTACCATTGTTAATTATGTAAATGCAACGACATATTAAAGGAGTGGGAGAAGACTAAAAAAGAAATAAAGTTATTGAGAATTTTGGATCATAGTGCTCTCATCTTCAATTACAATCAACTGTCACAAGATTTAAAAGTGTGCTTTCTATATCATGGAATCTTTCTAAAATGAACAAAAGTCCTAGTTAAAAAGCTTATTGGGCTATGGATTGCTGAGGGATTTTTAAGCCATTGGAGCTTAGAAAGTTAGAAAATCAATGTTATGCATATTTACAAGAGATTAGTGTCAGATCGAAGTCTTGTCCTACTATGCAAGTCAAGTTCTAAAGGAAAAATTAATAGTTGTAGGATGCATAGTGCCTTGCATAGTTTTTGTATTGGAGAAGCTCAAAGAGATGGTATTTTCTATGCAGTAAATAGTCTACAACATTCATAATTGCCATTAAGTGAGATTGCAAAATCGAGTCGTTGGTTAAGTTTATGTAAGCATAGTTTTGACTATTATGTGTTGTTTACTTGTTTAGTACTAACAACCCCCACTCCCTTCTCTTCTTTAATGATGATCAACTTTTGTTCCTCTCAAGCTCCTAAGAGTTTTGACCTTTGTTCCACCTCCATTCCTCCAAAGAGCGTCAATGCATTTAGGTGATTTAATGTTTGTGATAATAGCTCTGTAATTAAACAATCCAAAAATTCAGTTTTTCACGGGAGAACCAAACACATTCATGTCAGGGTCCATTTCTTGCGAGAACTAGTGGAAGATGGTGAACTTACATTAGTCCACTGCAAGTCATAAGACCAAGCAGCAAATCTCTTCACGAAGCCTCTCAATGCAGCATCATTCCTCAAGTTAAGGAGCAAGATATGAGTCCAAGGAAGCTCTTCTCTAAACTGAAATCAATTCAGTTTAAGGAAGAGAATGTTACGAAAATTAATTTAATAAAGTTAGCATAATTATTGTAATAATTCAGATTATTAGTCAGTCAAGTTTGTTAGGTATATTTGCTACTCTTCTGCATTTAGTTAATCATAGCATTATTTTCCGTTCGTCTATATGCTTCTTCTTTCAATTTAAAGAGCCTTTTCCTTCTTCAGTATTCCTGATTTTCTATCTACATATGATATATCTATCATGAACTCATAAATAAAGATATATAGTAAATACCTGAACCTGAGCTATCCATATATATATAAAGCCTTCAGAATGCAACATTGACAAAACCATATATATACACCGAATGCTGCTGCATCTTTGTATTATGTCCAACAACAGAACACAGAATGGGCTCCTGCAAATGAGAAACCATTTGGGTGTCAAACAAGAAGAAATATATGTTTGGATTGAAGATTAG